GAGGCCTTCACCTTTCGGTGAAGTTCATTACTTGTGTTCAGCACAAAAGAAGATATTTAGAAGAATGTTGAGCACCTGTAACTATTATTATATGGCAGTCACTGGTTACAGGTTTCAGCATTCTTCAAAACATCTTCATTTGTGTTCAGCACAATAAAGACACTGGATCAGGTCTGGAGAGAGTAAGCGGTGGGGAACTCCTCTGTGTAGGGTGAGCTGCCTGTTTAAGCTCTTCTTCTTGAGTGTCTTTAAGGAGGATAAACGCACACACAGCAACATTTCTCTGGCCCACTCAATCAGCTTGTGCTTGGCCCACACGGACCAACTCTGGCTTCCATACAAGAGCCAAACATGGACCATATGTGGGCCGAGACTCAGCCAACTTAATAACCCAGAACTGGGCCAGACAGGCGGGTGTGTGCCGACTGTAATGACTTGATAAACCCATGCAGCACTGTGCTTTATGCAGAGCTCAGACTGCAGGACTTTAGGCCCGATTATGACTCGCTGACAGGTTTGGAGAAATCGCCAACAAATGCCTGAAATCACAGACACATCAGTGCTCGAGCACGAGAGTGACAATCACACAGAGTGAACTATCAAAGACACGACATGAGAGAGTCGCAGATGCCGGTGAGATATCTGACCTGCTGAATACCCAGAGCTGTCGGCAAAGAGAAATGAGTTTATCCTGAAATTAACATCATCTATCGCCTACAGCCAATGAGAGAGCAGCATCCACTTGTGTGTGTGTGTGTATGTGTGTACCTGCAGGCCAGCCTTAGGCTTTAAAGTGCTCATTTCAGTTTATTTAGAGCCAAGAAGTGGAGGAAAAACTAGTGGAGGTGTGACAGGAGCACTGTGTCATGTGAGCAATTTCACAACCGGGTCAACAAAGAAGAAAGTTGAGGAGAGATTGCCCATTCCCCCAAACCCAGGTGAGCTAATATGTGCATTTCTACCCTATAAAGGCTTCTTTCTCATTATGCAGTCAATAAAGGATATACTGCGTGATTTAGGCTGTGAGATGTAGTTTGGATGAAGTTGTCAGTGATTCCTCCTCCTGTAAAGTCATGCAGTGTGCAGCGCCTGTTGCTGATCCATCCTAACACAGCGGCAGCAGAACACTCGGCCAGACAGTCCTGCAGTGTGAACACATCTGTGACATGACGACTGGACACCTGCAGTCTGATCTCCACTCCAGCTCACTATGAGTGTGTGTTATTTCAGCCACCAACCAATAGTTTGTTCTTTGCTCAGAAATAATTGAAATGGGTTTTAAAAGTGGGTCAAGACGGGCCAAACCTACACGGCCCACATGTACATTTGAACATCTGGAACATGTCTTGTGTTCTGCATTAAAGACAGTGCCCACCTCTGCCACCCCGGCCACATGCTGTACGCCAGAGCCGGACCAACGCCTGCACTGCAGCTCCAGGCCAAATCAAGTGTGTGCGTGCGTGCGTGTGTGCGAGTGTGAGTGCGTGCGTGCGTGCGTGTGTGCGAGTGTGAGTGCGTGCGTGCGTGCGTGCGTGTGTGTGTGGGTCACTGCATTTACATATGTTCTCATGAGCTTCACATGTGTTCAGTGTTTACAGTATGAGACTGGCTGTGTGTGTGTAGGAGAGCTGTGATGCACATGTGTTATGCAGCAGTGTGTGTGTGTGTGTGTGTGTGTGTGTGTGTGTGTGTGACTGACGTTCTTCTTCATTTACAGCTGGTTTTAAGACAGAAGCTGTTAAACACACTACAGGTCTGCACATGTGCTACTCGGCTTCTGGACACACACCACATTGTGTCTGCGCTGTAACACACACTCTCCTGATGAACATGTCCTGCAGATGAAGCTGTGTGAGTGTGTGTGTTGTGTTGTTGTGAGAGCATCAGACTCATCACCAGTCTCACCACTGAAATCTGCTCAATCTGTGTGTGTGCGTGCGTGCGTGTGTGTTTGCTGTGAGATCTCCGCAGGTGTTCTGTTCTGCAGTGATATCGGCTGGTGTGTGAAGGTGAAGCGCAGACGTGTGTGTATTTACTCTCCTGCAGCACCGGAGAAGTGTGTTTCAGTCTCTCTTCATCTTCATCATCATAATCATCATCATCTTCTCTGACATTGTGTGAGTTTGAGGAGCTTAAATCATGACACACACACACACACACAAACACAGCAGAATGAGTGCTGTCTCTGCTGTATGATTGTCAGCTGACCTCTGCACTGTCTGCTCCTGAAGCCAGAGTTCATCATTCCACAGCCTGAACTCAACACCTGTGTGTGTGTGTGTGTCACTGTTTGTGTTTATATTTATGCTTGTGTCCCGCTTCAGAACTGTGCTGGAGGAGATCTGACCTCTGACCTCTGACAGGGGAAGTGCTGCACTGTCTCTGAGCTGTGAGATGATGCTGTCGCTAGAAGGGATACAGCTGCAGACGGAGGTGTGGATCAGGATTCATCACACATCAGTAGAGCCAGACAGAATCTGCGGACGTTTCTTGCTATTTC